CCAATTTCGTTTATTGGCAATATTGCCGTTAGTTTATTTAATTATAATTAGATATTTAATTATCTAGTATTAAGCTAATCCCTGCTACCTGAAGGGTGAGGGTAAGGAGAAAACTTTACATTACAACCTTCTAGCTTTAAAGTTAGGCATTTAGGCTAAGATAGTTGCGAACCACTTTTTCTAAATGGCTAATATGATCTATTTTATAACTTAACTAACTATCTTTGTGTCACTTCTTCTGCTTTTATTAAATTGTGTCCTACTTCTTGCTAGGCTCCTCCTTCACCTTATGTCGAAGGTCTAAGGGTTGAGTAGCTAAGGCGAGGCTAAAGAGGCAGGGTTATATTATAAGGTAAATAATACAAAAATAAAGATAGTGGGGGTTAAGCTTACAGCATTAAATTTTAGCTGTATTATTGTCCCCCTCCCCAAAGGGGCGAGGGAGATGCTGAGCTTATTATAAATAATATACCTGGAATATATATAAATAATAATCTTAAGTAACTTACTATAGCTGACATATCTACACCAGCTTGAGTGTTTCCTAAAGGTCCCGGTAAAATATTAATAATAATAGGTGCAAATAGAAGTAATATAATAGAGATTAGTCCTAAAACCATGTATAGAGCATAACTAGTTACTATACCTGTATCTCAGTTACTAATATTTTTACCTGTATTAAATAGGAAGTTAGAAATACCAAAAGGTCCTACTACTTCAATAACTCCTCTATCTAATACTTTAGCTACAGTATATCCTAATTTTAAACCAGCTCCAATAATATAATTGTTATAAATAATATCTAATAAGTATTTACCATTAAAGAATGTATAAATTTTTCTACCTAAAGAATAATCTGTTAATTCTATCATAGCTTGTCCTTTAATTCCAGATGGATTTTTTAAAGATAATTGACTGTTATGATATAGATATACAGCTAATAGAGCAGCTAATACGCTACCTATTGTAGGTAATAATTTAATTAATAACGGCATAGAGAATTCAGCTTCAACTAAATTAATATGATTAGGATGTATAAATAAACTATTACCAAAGAAGTCTGTACCCATACCTACGAATAAATCAGCAAAGATAAATCCGAAGAATATACTTGCTAAAGATAATAAAGTTAAAGGAATTACTACACTTAAACTAGCTTCATGTGAGTTTAAATAATCTGATTTAGGTGCATTAGGATAAGTTAAGAATACTAATGAGATTAATCTAAATGAATAGAAGGCTGTGAAAATTGCTGTTAATGTACCTAAATAATATGCAGCTTGACCGCTAAATTGATATTTAGCATAAGCTAATTCTATAATTAAATCTTTACTGTAGAACCCTGTTAATCAAGGTAATGCCATTAATGATAATGATCCAATTAAGATAGCTGTATATGTAAACGGTAAGAATTGTAACAATCCTCCTAATCTTCTAATATCCTGTTGATCAGCCATAGCATGTATTACAGACCCTGCTGCTAAGAATAATAAAGCTTTGAAGAAAGCATGATTTACTAAGTGGAATAAAGCTACGTTATATTGACTTAAACCTACTGCCATGAATAAATATCCCATTTGACTAATAGTACTAAAGGCAATTATTCTTTTTAAATCATTTTGTAATAAACCTGATGATGCAGCGAAGAAAGCTGTTATTGAACCTACTCACATTATAACTAATAAGGCTGTTGAACCATATTCTATTAAAGGTGAAGATCTCATTAACAGATAAACTCCTGCTGTAACTAGTGTAGCAGCATGGATTAAAGCAGATACAGGTGTTGGACCCTCCATAGAACCAGGTAATCAACCATGTAATCCTATTTGAGCACTTTTCCCCATTGCAGCTAATAATAGTAATAAACCTATTGTACTAATTAAATTTTCATTTATATAAGCTGATAAACTGAATACACTAGAATAATCTATGTTTCCAAATACTCAGAATATAGAGAAGAATGCTATACTTAAAGACATATCCCCTACTCTATTCATTGTAAAGGCTAAAATAGCCGCTTTATTAGCTTGTACTCTAGTATATCAGAAATTGATTAATAAATAAGATGATACTCCTATTCCTTCTCAACCTATAAACATAATTAAATAGTTAGATCCTGTAACTAATACAACCATGAAGAAAGTGAATAAAGATAAGTATGAGAAGAATCTTTGATTATGAGGATCTTCTGACATATAAGATATTGAGTAAATATGAACTAAAGTAGAAACATATAACACAGGTATTAACATAGATACTGTTAAACTATCAAATAAAAATTCTCATGATATAGACAGATATTCTGAATCTATTCAACTACTTAAAGGAATTGTAACAGGTGATGAACCTATTCCTACTTCGTAGAAAGCTACACTTGCTAATACTGATGTAATAAATAATAGGAAGCTAGTTATGAAATGACTACCTGTTACTCCTATTTTTCTACCTAAAAAACCAGCTATTGCTGAACCTAATAAAGGTAATACTAATATTGATAGATACATTAACTTCTTAATGAAATATTTCCTCTTAATCTATAATATGCTACTACTATACTTAATCCTATTACTGATTCTGCTCCAGCTATACTTATAATATAAACACTAAATGTTTGACCTATGTTATCATCAAATTGATAAGAAGATATTAACATTAAGAATGTTACAGCTAATAACATAATTTCAATAGAAATTAACATAAGAATTATATTTTTTCTATTTAAAATGAATCCTAGTATTCCTACTAGAAATAATAATAATGATAAATTCATATTTTCTTATTTTATACCTTACGGACCTGTGAAATGATAAATGTATAAAGAATAGCTCCGCCACATACTATATTTTTTCTCTTAGCCTACGTTGCTGCTATTCTTTAGCAAATCGACCACCCCTAAAGGTGCGGAGACGGGTAGGGCTTCGCCTCAAGGTAAAGCCTTTACGTAGAGTAAGAGTAATTCTATTAACAGAATAATGAAAACTAGTACTTAAATAAACTTTTACATATTAGACCTAATAGGTCTTTAAATTTTAATACCTCTTTTACCTGTTTTAGTTATTAATCCCGTGACCTATATCCTCTTGTTCCGCTGCTAAGGTAAGGAAAGGGAGGAAGGCTTCACCTCTAACGATTAAAAATAGCTACAAAAGCAATAAGCAGAAAAATAAAAATCTCTTTCTACTTATCTTTAATACATTATTAGAAGACTGTAATAATGTATAATGACTGCCTGCTCCTTTCCCTTCTGGACTCCCTACGTATACAACCGTAGGACCAAGGAGGGGCGAGGCTTGTCCTCCAAGGGGAGGACTACCTAAATAAAAAGTACGAACAAAGAGACTTGAACTCTTACGAACAAAACTTCATGAGTACCTAAAACCCACCCGGCTACCAATTTCGGCATGTTCGCTACCTTTAGAATTAAGCAATTCTTTGCTTTTTATTTTTTAATTTTAGGGCGGAGCAGGCTTCGCCACTGTAATAGGGAAGGCTAGACTCGAACTAGCTATAACTTAGTCCCAAACTAAGCAACGCACCACTTTGTTTTCTCCCCTCTTGTTATTACTCGCACCTTGTTGTAGGCCGCTTCGCACACCTTCTCCCGCCAGGCCTACGATATAAGGGAGGGCGAGGCATAGTAACGGAGCCTCGCCTGAAAGGACAGGGTTAAATTATAGCTATAGGCTATATGTTTCCTTCACCATACCTGATTTATGTAAAATAAGACTAATCTTATTTTACTTAGTCAAGAAAGGCAGGTATACTATTAGACAAATATTGCAAATAAGTACGAACAAAGAGACTTGAACTCTTACAGAATTACTTCCACTTCTACTTAACAAAAGCCTGGCTACCAATTTCAGCATGTTCGCTATTAATTCAATTTTATTTAAGTTACGTAATCCGACCTACTCGCTTAGCTTAGTACAAGATCTAAGGAGTTTAGGACATGATGATTATTATTGACTCTTTTACTTCAAGCCGAAGTCCGTCGAAGGCCTTATAGTCCTTTTCTAGCTACTAGCAGTGCCGGAGGCCGGGATACTTTTATATAATAAGTCCCTTGTGCGATAGCACCTAAATCGTAAATATTAAGACCGAAGGGGCTCGAACCCTCATTTGACCCATTATGAGCGAGTGGCATTAACCAATTATGCTACAGTCTTTTTTAATTTGTGCCGAGGAAAGGCTACGCCACACTGTTAAGTCTCCCAGCGTAGGCCTATATATACGAAGCCTAAAATTATACCTTACCTAATCCTTCTAAAACTATGAATTAATTTAAGGGTTAGAACTAAGGTTCTACCTTTGTTTCCTAAATTTTAGGTAGACTGACTGAGCTTGACTAGTACCTAGCGTAGTTAGGGCTCTGCCCTAGGATTATAACTGCATCCTATTACTTATCAGCCAGCTCCTTCCTGCACCACACACTATGCTCTAAGCAAGGTGAGCTGGTGCTGAGCCGAGGTGTTTATCTAGTAAAACTAGACACCTATTTAACTTTAAAACTGGTACTTATTACCAGTTATTATGGGTTGAAAAGGAATCGAACCTCTCCCGATCATAAAGATCAATTTTTTTACAGAAAATCCTAATTACCATTCTAGCATCAACCCTCTTTTTTAATTAGCTTCGCAGCCTATTAAACTCTTTGTTCTATTACTGCTCATCCCGCTCCGCCCGCCTAGAAAAGTACTTCTACCTCCCGCCCTGCTGCGTAGCAAGGCTACCGCTCCCTAACTCATCAATCCTAATATAAAGAAGATAATCCAGGTAAAGGGATACCTAGTGGTTTCAAATAAACGGAATAGAGGGGATTCGAACTCCTCAAGGGATAACCCTAATAGTTAGCAACCATCTTATCTTACCAATGAAAACTATTCCTTGTATTTTTTCGTAGCCCTATTATCGGTGTAACGTCTTCTTCTTGCTCCATACCTCCTTATGTCGAAGATCTGGAGGCAGAGGATATAATAAACATGATTAGGGCTAGCATTTAAAGGCGAAATTAGGACTTGAACCTAAATCAAATGAACATGAGTCACTTATGTTACCATTACACTATCTCACCGTCATTTATTAATTATCAAATAAGGGCTCCGCAGAAACGAGTCCTACCGGCTCCGTTGCTACAGCCATCAAATGACTTTTGCTTTGCAGGTTACTGAATTCTATCGTCAAAGCGACTATCTATCCTACGGCCTCTTTTATTATATAAAAATATTTTTATGATGTGGAGCCTGCAAACCTAACTGGAATAGGTTAAAACTAAACTCATAGACTAAGACCTACGAAGCCTAAATTAATAAATTTAATTAAACTACATAATTAAAGGCTGAGCCAGGCTGAGCCGGCTGAGTCTCTATTTGCTTGTTAGTTATAATATACCTATATTATTAACATGTTTAAATAACGGACACAGTGAGATTCGAACTCACGACTATTCGTAATCGTTTTCAAGACGATCGTATTAAACCACTCTACCACATGTCCTATAAATTAGTGCAAGTCTTCTCCAACTAGCAGTACCAGCTCCTTATTCCGCAGCCAAATGGCGGATGCTGAACAAGAGATCCTAGTTTTACTTATTTTGATTTAAGGTGTAGGAGATTCGAACTCCTGTCTCAATAGTGTAAATATTACGCTAAACCGCTCAGCTAACACCTTTGTTACTCTTTTATTTTTTTTCTAATAAAACTAGACGGCCTTCGGCTTAGAAACGAAGCAGCCTGCTCTAAGGTAGTACCGCTACCCATTGAGGCAAACTAGTGTTTAGGCCTGATGTGTCATTATTTAATATTAGCTGAAAAAAGGAATCGAACCTTCTTTTTATCATCATGAATGAAATGTTTTAACCATTTAAACTACTTCAGCTTATAGAATACTGCTCCGCCGTCGGCTCCGCACTAATAAAGTTTAATGTTTCGAGTGACGTAGACTAGGGTAGGATGAGCTTAAATAGATATCTACAAGACGGATTGTGTTATGAGCGTTATATAAGTACAGCCTTACTAGGAATAGTAATTAGGACTATGAAACGCCACCCGCCTCCTCACCTTTAAGAAGCGGAGCTCTTGCTCTATGGAGGGGCTGCTGTTTTTAATTTGCCTGCTGTATCTTTATTTAGCTCCAAACTGAATTCTATCTAAAAATTAATAGGTAAGAGATAGGAGTTTATTTTCTAGTTGTTATCTTATAAATAATACGTCTCTCCTCCCCCTTATGAGGAGGAGCTAGCCTGCCTACTTTCATTTAGACTAAGCCTTATGTTTATTAAAATGCTCCGCAGATAAGCCAAGCTCCTCGCCCTGCCCTTTAGGGCGGGGAGCCGAGGAAGGCACCAGTGCAAAGTGGGGGATTAATAACATAAAGACTAGGCTAGGTATTCTAAGTACTTAACTCTAATTTTCTGTTTAATTACCTTAAATTTATTTAATTATATATCTCTTATTATACCCCGAACTTATCTAAATATTTAGGCTTACCTCTCTCTACCATTCCCTCCTTTAGGAGGGTCAGGCTGCCGTAGGCCGAGAACACCCTAAAATATTCCAGTTTTAGATATCTTATTATTTTACCTCTTGCTTTTGCTAAGCAGCTAAAACGAAGAATGTACCCAGCTTTTGGAAGCTAGACCGGATAATGAACCTTAAATTTCACAGTTTACGGTATAGGGTGAAACCATGGATTTGAACCAAGATCCACCGTCGCCACAAGACGTTATTTTACCAATTAAACTAATTTCACCTCTTTTAATTAATGCCGAAGACTTAGAACTAGCTCAGTAAACTAATCTGCTTGTATCCTTTGCCTTATTTATAAAAATAAAAGCCTGCTCCTACCTAGGCCTCCACACCTAAGGGTGTGGAGCCTGGAGTTGGCATACTAGGGAGCAGGGGTTAAAAAATAAGGAGAGATTATTAGTGTAGATATACTGCGTCTTTAATATATGAGCATGTTAAGATACAGAATACATAAGCTTGAATTAAAGATACTGCTAATTCTAATCCAATTAAACCAATGAAGATAGAGAATGGTATTAAAGTTAATACAGAAACTAAGATACTACTTGAGAATAATTGTCCTAAGAATGTTGATAATATTTTTAATAAAGTATGTCCTGCTGTCATGTTAGCGAATAACCGCACTCCTAAAGAAACAGCTCTAGCCATGTAAGATACTAATTCAATAAGAACTAATAAAGGAACTAAAGCTAAAGGTGTACCAGAAGGAACGAAGAAAGCAAAGAAATGTAATCTATGTCTATATAAAGCTAAGATTGTAACACCGATGAAGATTGTAAAACTTAGTCCAATAGATACAATAATAGATGTAGCTATTGTATAGTTATAAGGAATATTACCTGTTAAGTTACTAATTACTATGAATATGAATAATGAGTAGATGAAAGGTAAATAGATTTCATTAGCTGAACCTATTTGGTCTCTAACCATTGAATTGATACTTGTAAAGAAACTTTCTAAAGCTATACTTCATTTTGAAGGAATTATTCTGTTGTTATTAGTTGTCACTACGTGAAGTGAAATAATAACTGCTAATACGATTAAAGAATATAAACCTAAGTTAGTTAAACTTAAATTTAAGTAACCTAAGATAGGAGCATTTAAACCAATAAGGTTAGTTACTTCAAATTGGTCTAATGGAGAAGAAATAATAAATTGATTTGTGTTTATCATTTATGTAATGTTTTAATCAGTATACCTTAGTAACTATAAGGTTAATTTTTAGTCTAAGATAATACTGGTTTGGCTTTTAGCCGTCTCACTTATTATAATACTAGCCTATTAGTACTGTCCTAATAAATAGAAATTACCAATATATAGCAATATAAATAGAGAGAGAGTTTTAAGAATAGATCTATAGTTTATTAAATAAATAGCTATATGCATCTTATTTAATAACCAATCTAAATTATAAAAATTAGTCCACTTATATTAAACTTTGCAGAAGATAGCCTCCAGATCCACATATAATTATAAATCATAACCTATCTATCTGTTATGCCGAACACCATTTCTCCGCAACCGGAGAGCAGCTACCGTACAAATTTAACGAGTCCTACCGGATTCGAACCGGTACCTTCCTAGGTGACGCCTAGGCACTCAACCAATTAAGCTAAGGACCCTTTAAATACATTAAATTCTCTTTTATCTAGTACCGTCCTTCCCTTCCCGATCTCCCTTACTTCAAGCTCCGCACCATGAGGGCGAGGCTTACAAGAAGAGGCTATCGCAGCAGAGAAATAGGCTTTGCTCCGCAGCCTATTGTTTAACAGGGTTTCCTCCTTAATTAATCCTAAGCAAACCAGTTCCTCGACCTTAGGCTGAGGTAGTTCGTAGCAGCAGCCTTAAGGAGTTAGCCGCCTAGCCTAAATAAAGCAATGGGCCAAATTTTATAGGTAAGGTTCGGTAAATGTCATATTAAATTATTGTCGGAAGCCTAGAAACAACTACGAGGTTGCAGGCTCCGCACTGTTTAACAAGAGCGAGGCGAATCGAACACCTGCCTATGATTTTGAAGATCAATATACTACCATTATACTACGCTCTTTTTTTTAGAATAGGTAACCTTTCCGGCTTTACCTTGCCAGTATAGGATAAAGTTCTCTTTTGGATTTGAACCAAAATCAATGTTTTAGAAGAACACAGCTCTACCATTAAGCTAAGAGAACATAATGTTCCGCGCTTGGCTTATACCCCCTTTTAGGGTGCGGAGCCGGAAAGGACTGCCTTACTTTAAGCCCTACGGCAGGCGGAGCCTTTTCTCTATTATATAGGTATACTATTCGTCCTAGCACCATATCCTCCAGAAACGGGCTAAAAATGAAACGTTAGTTACCTTAAGTGTTAGAGTTAAGAAGGACTCGAACCCTACGATTAAAAATTAATCATCAAATTTGCAATTTGACTACAGTACCATTCTGTAAACTTAACTCTTATTACCTCGGCTCCGCACTGTTCAGATCTTAACCTGATAGTATAACAGTTCCGCCCTAATCTTGTAAGAAGGATAACCTATAGCAGAAATTAGACCAGGGTGCAGAGGTAGAAATTGTAGACAGTGGTACTAGTAGCTCTTCTACGGCTACCTCAGTAGCAAGAATTGTGTGCCCCTCCTCCAAGGGGAGGAGCTAGCCTGCAGTCTAGGCCCAGGATACCTAGAAAAACCTAGGCATCGAGCTACTACCCTTTACCTTGGTTTTTACCTGTTCTGCTCTATCTGTTATCAGCAACGCTGGATAGCTAAAAAAAATTAGCAGAAGTGGACGTATCTCCACGCTCCGCTGCTCCCTTCTCCTTAAAGGTAGACACGCTGGAGGTCTGCCTGTATCACACTAGGTCTTCGGTAAAAAAAAAAAATAAGCTCACGCCTATTTCTTCTGCCCGGCTACCTTATTACTTAATACCTAAGTAATTATGAACAAGGCAGGGAGTCAAGGCCTAGCTCCTCCCCTAAGGGAGGAGAGGCTGCTAAAAAAAGAAAAATAAAATATGTTATAATAAAGTCAATAGACAGATTAGTAATATTAAGCTAAATGTTTCACAACAATTCCACTCATATCCTAACTAGAAATGTTCTATTTCTTATCTTAAATGCTAACTTACTTACTACACCAAAAGGTGAGCAAGAACAAAATAATAGCATTGATAGTATCCAGGGATCGGTTTCTTGCTTAATATACTTTCAGCAATTATCCGTTATGTTTGTGGCTACCCAACTGTGCCAGAGTAAAAATAATTAGAGATTCTAAAATATTAATACAACCAACAATTGGTGCACTATTGAAACACGCCCATCTGATCCTTTCGTACTGAGAGGTAATTCCCTTTTTACTATTTTTCACTTCGGAAGATAGGGACCATACTGGCTCACGCCGTATTAAACCCAACTCGCGTACCCTTTTAATCGGCGAACAGCCGAACCCTTCCAAGATCCTACGCCCGGAGGATAGGGTGAGTCGACATCGAGGTGTCAAACTGGCCGGACAATGTGTACTCTCGCGGCCAATTAACCTGTTATCCCTAGCGTAACTTTTATCTATTAATCGAC